ATGAAATCACAAACATATTTTGAGATATCTGGTAATTTTGTTCAGGTTTTAAAATGTTGAATGATTGCAGCATGTCAATCGTGAATCATAAATTAAATAAGTTCCAAAATTCTTTTTCACTATAAGCAGCTACCATTGCCTAACGGTAGTAGTAGGGTTGGAGGAGGCTAATATTGTTAAATGGTAGGACTAATATCTAATAAATATAATTGCAATTTGTGCAACTACTTTGTGTGACTGTCGTTAGGTTCAACCTGATAATTTGTCCTAATGAAATATTATGTACTCTGATTGATAGCAGATTTCAAGGATCTCAGGCTGATCCATCCTGTATACAAAAATAACATTGCTTTGTCTGATGCTTTCCAAATGCCCTAGACATATCTGGCAAAGACCAGTGCAAAACATCATCTCTTTTTTTTATGACCCCATGATCCCTTGCAGAGTGGAGTCTGGGCAGCCGAATGGAGCAGAGTGTTTACTGGCCGGATGCCCTTCCTGTTGCCAATGCAGAATTTTATTCAGCAGATAAATTATCACTGTACCCAGAGTGCCTCTACCTAGGATTGAACTCCCAGCCTCTTGATTGTGAGGCAAGAGCTCCACCTCTAGACCAGCGGACCACTAAAGACCAGTGCAAATGCTGCATATAAAATCAGAAGGAGGAAGGAGAGGAAATATAAATACCTATCACTTCTTTCCTATACTCCTAACCCTTTCTACAACTGATGTAGTCTATAATTTAAATAATCAAACATTTTACTCTTCTTTATCCTATTATCATGTCCCGTAATACTATACAAAAGCCATCTGTTTTGAACTGGAATTAAATACAAGCCTGACACTAAGGAAGAGTAGAAATTAAAAATTGGCATGGCATTCGCTTGCCACCAGAACTTCCTTCCTGAGTGCATTGTGTAAATGTGGTTATTAAGCCATACAATTCATCCATCCAGCAGGGAATGGTTGACATTGATTGACATTTGGAGTTTAAAACAGGATTTCTTACTATTTCCGTTGGAAGATTTGAATCTGGAATATCTGAATGAAATACATCAGGGGTGTCAAACTTGCCACCGGAAGGCTGAATGCGTCAGGCGCTGGCTACGCCCACTCCCATTTTAGCAAAGGGAGTCGTGATATGTCACATGACAACAACATTATAACGTGACTTTGGCATCCCTGAAATACATGATCAGGAGCATTCCAGACATTAGATATAAAAACTTACCTTCACAGAAAAAAAATTGCCTCCTTAAGGAAAGATAGCAAAGACAGCCTTTTCTTGACCAGAAATCAGAAACACGGAGCAGTCCCTAAGAAAACCTTTGCTTGTGTTCCTTACACGTTTGGATCTAAGTTGTTTCAGTTTTCAAAAATGTTTGGAATATTGAATTCATTGACGTTCACTCAAGGCAAATGGAAATGTGCATTGCAATAATCATGATGTAAGTTCCACCCTTCTGTATTTGCATAAGGGGTGGAGTCAGCATCATGACATGTGTTGCTCCATGTTGGTGTCCTTGTGGCTACCTGTGATGCATTTACTTACTGCCTCCATACCGACCATTTTGGAACTGATTGCATTTATTCACATGGTTATTAAAAAACTTCACAGTCAAACACCTGGAGGATAGTTTTCCATATTATCCTCTTTCTTAAAAAGAAAAAAACAGAGACAGAGAGAGAGATTTTATTTGTAGCCGTTTCTTTTAGCTTCATGGCTTCCTTGACTATTTTGTTTCTTTATTATTAAATTGTAAGATTAATAATAAAGGTCTATAAGGGGTGTGCATAAGTGCACAATTGTGCCTACCGTCCCTGTCCTATTTGTCCCCAAGCTATTTTCTAAAGCGCCTGTAGGCCAGACAAGGAATAATGGATGGAAACTGAACACGGAGAGATTTAACCTGGAAATAAGGAGAAAATTTCTGACAGTGAGAACAATCAACCAATGGAACAGCTTGCCCTCGGAAGTTGTGGGAGCGCCTTCAGTTGAGACTTTCAAGAAGAGATTGGACTGCCATTTGTCAGAAATGGTGTAGGGTCTCCCGCTTGGGCAGGGGGTTGGACTAGATGACCTGCAAGGTCCCTCCCAACTCTGATTATCGGTTATCCATTCATACCTATTTCCCGTATTTATACTCATGCTTATTCTTATACCTATTATCTTGTAAGCAATTGACAAATCAAATAGGTAAAATAAATAAAACAAACTTGCTGTATTATTAAGTAGCATGGTGCCATAGGAAACTAGCCTTTTTATTCCATTCCTAAGTGTCCTCCGGTGCTATATATCTCTTTCCCTATTATGCTTACATTCTGACTTGAAGTTTTTAAGAGTTATGTACCTTTTTTGAGAGGAAGTCAGACTAGGAATGGTTTTCTTTCGTGCTGTCACTATTCTTCTCTAGGATCTAGAGTTTATGGGAGAGGGGATATATATCCTGAGCAGTGGTGGGATTCAACTGGTGTAACAGCCGGTTCAATGAGCGTTTGGAACATCTGAAAACTGCCCATTTTCAGATCTAATACTTACCTTCTACTGCATCCCCAGTGAGGAAAACAGCTGAGGCGCTCTTGTGTTGATTCCGCTGTGCCACATGAATTAGCTGAGCTGCAAAACACGGCAATAAAGGACAGACTTGGGCAGGACCAAATGATTGCCGGAATTACTGGTTTGCCTGAACCTGTCCAAACCGGTAGAATCCCACCCCTGATCCTGAATTGCGAAGAGACTTCCAAAATAACCTTAGGAATATATAAGAGAATCTGGATTTTGCATTTTTATTTAAAAGATCCAGCCAGAGCTTGGGATGCAGCCCTTTTAATTCAAGTTTTAACTCTATCGAGGAGACAACTCGGCAAAGGAGAGGTGGATGGATTTCCAAATGCTGTTCCTAATAATATTAAGAATAAATTTAATGCAGCTTTATTATCCTTTATGAACGTTATAGAGTTACATTGATGTAATTCAGAGTGCATTGCATCCTAGGGACATTTGTGCGAAGCTCAGATCTCCTTCCTCTCACACAAAGGCTGGCATTCAGTTCATTTTGGCTATGACAAATTATTTACACCAGAAACGCTGACTCTTTAAAACCTGAGATCGGGGAAATGTTATTTATGCTAAAAGTATTAATTTCTAATCGTTTTTAGTCTCCTGCTTTATTACTTCTTGTCTTGCTCTCATTTTGGATCATTATCCTTTACTACTTCCCAGATGTGTGCCTCTGGCAGCTCAAAGGTTATGATTTTGTGTTTTGATTTTCCTAGACAGTTTGCTGAGTGCAGTGACTGCTGCTGGCATTGTTCCAGCTGGTTGTTTATTTTGTTACTGCTACAGGAAAAATATTCATAAACTATGGTTGCTCTTTTTTTTAAAAAAAAGAAAAAAATTACCAGTGGAAGAAGTTTAATCTATTCCTTGCCTATTTTTCTGATCTTCAAGATTAAGACATAAATCAAAACAGTGTCTAATTTTATTTTCAGTGGGGTCTTTTTAAAATCTTGGGGTTTTTTTGTACAATATGTTTTCAAATTGCCCTTATCGAATTTTAAGTGTTTGGCCAATCACAAACAATTGGGTAATAAATTTTTTAACGTCTCTCTAGGGGATATGCCCAAGGCTGTGCAGGACATACAACATATAAACTTGTTTTACCAAAGAAGAACCTCAATCTGACTTTTAAAAATTTGGCAGAATCATTTGTGTACCTCCTGTTGGAGGCCAGCATTCCAACTCAAATAGTAATAGTCCCCAACTTTTCTGGATTAATGCTGATTGGGAAAGCGGTGCATATATAATATAAAATGCAGTATGAAATACAATTTTATTGGAGGGTATTATGGAAGACTGTGAACCCATCTTTTCTGTTTATGCCACTCCTCTCAATATCCAGCAATATTAGATATATTTTAATTTTTAATATTCATTTTAAAAATGATAATGAAATGCAGATAACCTAAAGGAATGCAGCCTTCAACAAACCAATGTTTTCGCCTTTGAATGCAACAGCTTTTTCCATTTTTTGAAAAATGATTATACGAGTGGCCTTTTCTCTTTGCATGTCGGTATGATTCTATGAGTCTATCAAGTTCATTCAGAGTGCTGGTTCAGATTGACTTTTTCTTTCCAAGGTATTGTCCAGTGAAACATATATTTAACTATATGGTAATATTGTGGTCATCACTGTTTAGCTATTTTGTGTACTCCTAGTTTGAATATAACTGGACATGTGAGATTTAGCAACTTCACAATTAATGTCACCATACGGGTTTTTTTAAAAAAAATCTAGGTCATGTCAGTATCCAATTTTTTAAATGAATGTTTAGTGAATGTTTATAGGTAATTATCAGCAACTCCCATGTTAAATTTTCTTGTAACTATTCTCTTAACTGCTTCCTGACCCAACAAATAGGAAATAATACCATACAAACCTGAAGAAGATAACGTGGACTGTAGTCCATAGATCAGGGGTGTCAAACTCACATCGTCACGGTGGTGTCACGTAACGAATTGGGACTTTCCCCCACTTCGCTAAACCGGGCGGGGGCAGGGCCAGCACATGACACATCCCGGCCTGCAGGCTGCAAGTTTGACACCCCTGCCATAGATGGTGATAACATTCATAGAAGTTAGCCTATTAAAATAAAGAGAATCTTATTTTTCTACAATAGACAAGGGTAGCAAACTAGGTGGACAATTTATAATTAGGAAATTGTATTCTCTTCTTAATGATTGCCATGCAATTTTGTAGGCACAAAAGTTTTAACAGGAGAACAAGAGAAACTGCTTCTCAAGTGTGGAATGTGTATTTTTGCTTCCTTACAAATACATGGTGGCAAAAATGCATCTAACAAGATTCAACAGTTGGAATGATGAATTCCATGGAAATGACTGGTAAACTATAGGTGGAAATGACCTTTACTTGTGCAACTAGGGACATTCTGCTGGTTAGTATGTGATATGTGCTTCTTTCCCCTTTTTGTGGATGTAGGAGCTGTGAAGGACGGAATATTAGATATAGAACATGCAGCAACGTGGTAAGTAAAGATTAATGATTTTCAAATGTTACTGCAGTAGAGATCTTCTCTAGCCCCCAAATTATTTTCCTCTCTTCTTCTAGAGCAGGGGTGTTAAACTCAATTTCATTGAAAGCCACATCAGGGTTGTGTTTGACTCACGGGGCCAGGGTGGGCGTGGCTGGGTGAGTGGGTATGGCCAGCTTGACATCACTCATGTTGGGGGCGCCTGTGGTGGCCTAAGTGCTCTGCCAGCGAAACTGGGCTCCCAATCTCTGTTTCGGCTGAGACGGCTTCCGGCAACCTTCTGCCAATGCAATGGCAGAGGGAGTGCATGCGGCCTTCCCAAGCTCCATTTTCGATGGCAGAGGGTTGCAGGACGCCGTCCCACCCGAAAACAGAGATTGGAAGCCTAGTTTCGCTGGCAAAGGCACCGTGGACCAGTCCTTCACTGTTTCCATGGTGGCCCCATGGGTCAAATCTAAGCATCCCGTGGGTCAGATCCAGCCCATGGGCCTTGAGATTGACACCCCTGTTCTAGAGTCATACCATACAAAAGGCTAATTGAATCACTAAGATGCCCCTTCTGTGGCATGACTCTTATCACTCTGCAGACTTCCCTCTCCCGCATTTCTTACTTTTTGCCTATTTATTTGCTTATGGTTATTTTGTGTACGTGTGAAAAAAAAAATCCAAATTCCATATAATTGTAACATTTGCCACTATGCTGAAGATGTACACTAAGAAAGAGACTAAGCAGTCTTAAGTTTATATTAGTGAAATGTGGAATCTCAAATAATGGCCATATTTATGGTCAAAACATTATTGGTTGTGTACAAGATGCATTACCTCTCTACGTTGACAGGCTGCTCATTCTGACAAGGAAGAAAGCATATTTAACTCCCTTTGCCCTAAGTCTTGAAAGAAGGAAAAGTCTTTTGGCCCGTGCTTTTTCTTTCTCTCTCTTTTATAACTTTCTGGACTTGTCCAGTAAGCCTTCAATTTAACATTTGGGGTTCTTTTTCCCATAATGAAGATTGTTCATGAATATCCTCCCTGTATTCTCTTTCTTGAATTTGGCTGAAATCCTCTGCGTAGTCTGTTGCTTCAGTCCCATTGACTTGCTTGGCATTCACATCACTTCAGTTTTCACAGGCTTACACTGGGGTCCTTTTGGAGTCACTGGAGTCTTCACCTTCACTCTACTTATGTGCTTCCTTCTCTGGGAACAACTAGAGAACTGTTTGGGTAAATCAGGCTGCCTGTGGCTTTGTGGGTTGTGTTCCAGCTGCGAGGCACTTTTGCTTCACCAGGACATTGAAGGGACCAACGAGATTAATTCACGCCAGTCAAGAGAAAAACACCATGGCTCTGCAGAAGAGAAATGAAAGGCACATTGTCACAGCTGATGGGATTTAAATTGTTGCTTGCTGGATCACCCTGCTGGGAAGCTGGGATTACACCTAAACTGAAGCTCTTGTTTAGAGGAATGGATGAAGTTTGCCAACTCTTGCTTTTTTTTCCCCTGTTTAATGTTGTTCTTAGGGAATGGTCTTATCGTATGGCTGCGATACTGAAAACATTTACCTGCAAAATAAAGATTCGCAGATAACTCTCCCAAACAGTCGGAAGCGTGCAAGAATCCTAGAGGATTGTGGAAATTTACCTTCAGTACCAGAACTACATAGAGACAAGCTGGCCTATAGTTTTCGTCCAAGTTTTAAGACTTCAGGGACCCACTAAACTTTCACAGTTAATCAGAAGACCAAGGAAACAAAAATGTTATGAATTGCCCTAAAAATATACCTATGAAGTTAAAAATGGCTATCTCCACATAGGGTTAAAAATAACAGGAGAATTGTCTCAGAAGTGCTTTTCCAGAAAGCAACTGGATTTTCTTGGCTTTTTCCTTGAGAATGTTTCACTTCTCATCCAAGGAGCTTCTTCAGTTCTGAATTCTTGAATGAGAAGCAAAACGTTTTCAAGGGAAAAGCCAAGAAAGTCCAGCCGTCTTTGAGAAAAACACCTTTGGGACTGCCATGACCTGGATGATTTAGAATCTCCATAGACAACAGGACAATTGAAATCCAACATTACTTACTTCAAAATGCAAATTTGGAACATACTTGATGTGCAGCAGTATTTCCATAGCAGCTGCCATTCTATTAACTTTTTCAATAGTTGGTATTTTACTATTTACTATTACTATTTCTTCAATAGTTCCTATTGTTGTTGTTGCTGCTGCTGCTGCTTCTACTACTACTACTACTATTACTACTACTACTACTACTACTACTACTACTACTACTACTATGAAAGAACCTATTATGCAAGGTTGCCCTAAGACCAACCAGTGAAATAGTTGCTGCTTAATGGCTTTATTACTTGAAATATACTCAAGTAACATGAATGAAGCCTGTTGTCCATAAATTGGACTGACTATCTGTTTGTTTCAAAGTTGCTTCACAATACAGATATTGATTTATTATGCCCTAAATATATTGTGGGGTCACGTGTTCCAGTTCTTCCTTTGAGATCTTTGGAGAATGGTTCACTTTGGAACAATAGCTCTTTTTGTCTGTGGCACCCTCATTATGAAGCGTTCAGCACCTCCAGAAATGTTTGCTTAAATTGCTTTAAAAATGCCTCTTTACGTCAGCTTCCAGATCTTTTTAAGGTGGTTTGAGGAAAGCCTTGAGTTTCCTATTTTGTTGTGTATTTCATGACTGGGTTTTAGGAATAACTGAACTTGAGTATTACATAGATTCTAAGTATTGTTCTCTATTGCTTGCCCTACATCTTCTGCTTTCATCTGTAAACCCTCTAGTATTAAAAAGAGTCTATAAAAAGATAGATTCTATGCCCCTGGCCTAAGTGAGAAATATATAGTCTCCTTTTCCTTTCCTTTCCTTTCCTTTCCTTTCCTTTCCTTTCCTTTCCTTTCCTTTCCTTTCCTT